TAATTTAAATAATTTAAATATGGTACATAAAAAGCAAAAGAAGCGTCAAAATTTAAAAATTCGACAAGCATAGTAGTCACGTACGAGATATGGAATATGTGTTTACGGTAATCGGCGTCGCGGAGGTCAATATACCGTTAGAGACACCACGATATTCTTTTCTTTCTTTTCTATTTCGCTGAGCGCGTCACGTAGCACTAACTTACGAGCATCGCATTTTCCATTTCTTATAAATTAACTTGATCTTACGGAAAGCGTTCCTACAATTAGATAATGATATGATATAATTATACGATGTAATACCTATTTTGCATCCAAGTGAGTTTATAATATCGTTATTCGAGAATATATCACTTTTAATTTTATTAAAAAGTTCTTTAAGAAGATTCAATCCGTAACGATCCTTTGTCTTTGATTTTTATTGTACCTTAAAAAAATCTTAATGGATTTCAAGCCAGTTTAATGTGTTAATATCTATGCAACGATGAATCATTGGTATTTTTTTCTGCACAATGTTTTGTTAATAAGTTAGAGTTCAGTTAAATATCTCTCTTGTTTTCATTGAACGTTAAAAACATCACGTATAATCATCATAAGTAGATATATTATTCGTGCACAAAATTTACTTAGTCTTTGCAGTATATTTTATCATATATAATTTCGTTCGTTTTAAATTTTTCTTAACAAGCATTCAGAAGTCAAATAAAAATTTTCATTGACAAACATATTACATTCGAATTAGTAATGGAAATGAATGATCCGCGATCTATCATATGATGTACAAATAACAAATACTCGTACGTAGCACATACATCTCGTTTTTTTTTTTTTCACTTCATTGAATATCAATGAGATTACAATTAGACTTACGTTAGACATTATAAATATAAATCTTGATTTATTCACGCTTATATATGCTTTACGATACAGCTATCGGGTTCTTGACTCTAACACTACAAATAAAGCAAAGTTTTACGTAAGTACTTTCTATCCACGGGAGGATATACTCGCCTTATTATGCTTGTTTAGAAATGTCGAAATATAACTTCCAACCATAAAGGTCTTCTCATATCGAAATTTTCACGATTTAATTTTTCGCAAAGTAATTCAATGAATATTTCTCAACATCGATAGTCGAATCGAATATTTATCATATTCCATAATATTCTTTTTTTCTTTTTCTTCTTTTTTTAAAAAAAAAAAAAGGAGGGATATTATCAAATGTGCGTGTAGTATCGATCATGATGTTAACAGATTTTTTTTTTACAATTTATTTCTTATATTAATTATTAATTATATTATTAATCAAAGTGTATTCAATATTGAGAATAATCTAAAGCTCTTTTATTCTGCAGGTGCGAAGAGGCTACAGAAGTGGAGACGCATCATCAGCAAACGGCAGCAACAACGATGGGCGTCGCCGAGGATGAGACGCCGTCCTCTTTGACTTCTCATCCTAACCCTAACGTTAACAACCCCAACCAAGAAGGTACGTGTCAGAACTGTGAGTTCTTTTTGAAAATACAAATATTTTTTTTTTTTTCCTTTGTGTGCGTCTACCGAGATATATACATGTATATGTGTGCCAACATATACATGCCCTATCATGAATATCCAAATTATTTAGCAATCATGAATATTAAAATAATTAAATAATTTTTAACAATTTTTATTATTATTATTATTATTATCATTATTATTGAATTAGAAATACATATACAACGAACAAATAGATGTAAGATAATATAATTTTTTTTAAAAATTTGCAAATTGTTCACGGTTTGTATCATTTTCTTCGTTTTAACTTGGAAAAACGTTAAGAAACGCGCGGTTATTAATCCGTTTAATTACACGAACACGGAAGTATGTGGAAAGTCTCGATGTGACAAAGCTGCACTTCTCGCACAACACAAATTATTGTAGCGAACTTAACGACCCTTATCCTTTTCTCGTCTCTTCCGTATTATTAGCCCGTGTTTTGATCTTAAACTCACCGAGCTTAAAATTATGGAATACCATAGTTCCCTTTTTGCGGTTTCATCTTTCTAAAAAAAAAGTGTCCTTCGCGCATGCGTAAAACGTTCTTTGTCGAAACAAGAATTTACTTAAATTCAACGTATTTGAAAAACAATAGACAATGTTAACAAGTGTTTGAAGGTTAACGGGTTTTTCGAATAAATAAAACTTCTTTTATGACGTAGGTCGGTAAAATAGTATTCATCAATTTTATTCGCGATTCTTAATCCTTAAAAAACAAAAACAACTGGAAATGAAATTAATTTTCATATCTATTTTATATATGCTACTTTACGTTAAAATAATAATAAATTGAGGAAATGAATATGAATTTTTTCTGCGTATATATCGTACAAAATTGATCCATCGATAAATCTATTTTTTTGTGCAAACGTGATTTTCATTAAGTTTTAAACAACATTCGTCCCCAAATATTTCTCTATGATATTTTCGAACGAAATTTATTCAACTTTTTTAAAATGTTGTGACAACGTTTCAGCATTTGAGTTTATACATATATTGTAAGAATAACAAGAAAAAAGTATTCTTTGTGTCGTGTAATTTATTGTGTAAGGACTATTGTATTCGCAATTTCTATGAAAGAAATGGAAAGTGTGTAAATCTTCTCGTAAATCTCCCTATAATACGCGGAAATAATATCGTTACCATGAGTTTCTACCGTAAACAATTCACAATCAAACTTAAAAATCTTTTATATGTGTCTTTGTTATATAGACACGTTATTTATTCTATAAATATCAAATAGAGAAAAAAATTGTAAATTTATAATCGATACAATATTGCAATTCGATATAATAATTATGCTATATCGGAATATTGCATATAATATGTATCTAAGTTTGATGCTAAGAAGTACTTACAATGGAGGATCGAACAAGTGTTTCTTTCAATCCTGTTTGAACGAATATAAGAAATATTATCGGTTGGGCATCTTTTATCCGGTATCGGTTGGTAACGTAGATATCTTCGAACGGCAAGCAACAGGATGCATCCGTTCGAATAATGCCGCGTTACAAAGAAATTGTTAAAATCTTCGACGTGGCTTACAATTAGTATTTGTTGATTCATACTATGGTTGTTACCATGCACGTTCCGAGTACTGTGTTGACGTTATTAGAGTGGAAATCCTGCTTGGTTGTATTTATGTGATCGCTCTACCGATTCCTCTTTTTCATAAAAATTATCTTCTAATTCTTTGTGCATTGTTGGAACTAAGTAATTTTTTTTTTTTTGTTTTTTTACTTTAAATCTTTTAAACAATAGATACGTTCTTATACGAAATACTTTATACGAAATACTTTAAATTTCGATATTTTTACACAACGTAAGGAAATAAATAATAATTTAATCAATCTTGGAAGAAAATTGATTATACAATGTATTTTTAGTTCGTAAGCTAACAGTTCCGTAATATTTTCACCTGGTATGCGACATGTAGTAGAGCACTGCAGTATTTTAGTTAGGTCGAACTGCGCTTTGAACCGTTGCCAACAATTTCTTTGTCTTTATCATCCTGGTTTTTCCTCTTCGTCGTTCGAACCTTCTGTAACCTCGCCTTTGTATTCATTTCACCTATGGATATTCTAGGTCAAGTGTGTATTTTAATGATCATCAACGTCACCAAAATGAAGTTTTTTTTGAATCGCATACATACTCGATCCCAATCACCCTTGCAATATCTTTAATTAAAATAATAAATCTTTAATAGTTATATCTTGCGGTTTATATCTTACCTATTTTAATCAGAATTTTTTTTTTTGAGAAGAAACAAAAATAAAACGAAGCGAAAATCATCATTTTAAAATCATATCGAAAATTGTATATTCGAGAGTTATTATCTTCTGAGCGTTAATAAGCCACTTTCTTTTCCGCGAGAACAAACAATAAGGTGCCTGTACAGTTCAACGTTCTCATCGACATTGTATCTTTTCTTGTATTTATTTGAATTCATTTGGTATCGAAAAAGAACGACAAAGATTTATGAGTTAAATAAAAGAAAATTAAATGTTAAATAAGATACATTAAGAAAAAGATGTCGGCATCGAAGCGTAATCGAACGATTTATCCACATGTGAATTTCCTGTATACGGAGGGTACTGTCCTTAATGGATTGCATAACTTACATTCATTACAGAATCCTCGTTGGCGCCTCTATTTTTATGCGAAAAATACCGCACTGGCGTCTCTAACCATTTTACGATTTATTACTGAACTCTTCGCGTTAGTCGCGCCTTCTGATCGACGATGCCAATCAACATCCACTCTAGACATCTAGATTTCGTCTGTTTAACTGCAAATTTATTCAATAATAGATGCTTATCGATTATTTCCTCAGTCAGTCTTTATATAAAATCGTTGAACTTAATTTAACTTATCATGAGTCACTTCTATTTTGAAATAACTTATCTTATCGATTTAACGATTATTTTTTCATTTTTTTTTTTTTTTCTTAAGAGATCTAAAAATTCAGATTTATAATAGGAATGAAATTATCTAAGTTTTTAAAAATTGCAAGGAAGCATTATTTTTATAATTATAATCGCGAAAATTATAAGAGATCTTTAATTATTATAATATATTTCTAATATTTTTATAATTTAAATATATTTTAAATCCTCCCTGTATCTTCGATTTTCTGTATGTCTTCGAATCCTGCGTTTCCAATAACGATCAAAAATATGGTAATGATATGGAAATATCGTTCCCTTGACGCACTTTCGTATTTATGTTGGTATTAAATTTTAATAGCACTCTATACGAATAGTATAAATAAAGTTGTTCAATCGAAATTAAATACGATAACTTAATATTACATTCTTAATATTTAACATAACTTTAACTTGGCACATCACAGTGTGTAACATTCTAACCTCACTTTCATCATGGAAAAAGCGCGGGAAATTGCATTAATTCCGAAATACTACTTTTTTGTATCATTTGTACACATATTTATCGAGTTATATAATCTTCAATTAAAAATCAATAATTTTAATTAAAATTTGAATAAAAATTACACATTGGTAATTGTATCATAATATAAAAGTTTTCAAATCTTCTATTATACGTAACTTAATCTAACAAAAAATAAAAAATAATATTATGAGTGTTTCATGATTGAAATGATTCTTGATTCTTTATTTTGTTTCGATATGACTTATCTTTCAATGTTCACATTGTGTTTTAATTGAATGTTTGAAAGCTTTGATGATAATCATTCGCGTTATACGATTGATATGTTGAAATAATCAAAACATATATGTAACCAGTATAATATAACGTTGATATTAAATATTTTATAAATCATTCTTTGTTTCATTATTTTTCCTTTTGTATAACAAATTAATAAATTAATGAAATTTTATTTAAGAACTTTTGCAATTTATAAAAATATAAACGCGTAAAGAGGAAGTTAATGGAAGAGGCGTGAAGTCTCAGTGAACTCGATCGGACACGCTTTCTGTTTTTACTTCGTCTCTAGAACAAGCAGTTACGCTCCTCGCCCGAATAATAAATACGACTTTCCATTTTCAACGTAAGTGATTTTCTGTCAATCGCAAAAACAAATAATAAAAGGATCTTTTGAAATCATATTTTGGTAAATATATGACTACACGCGTTACACTAGACTAATCAAATGTCCAATTAAAAGCTTGTAATAAATATTCATTAATTTTGAAATCTGTTATTGTTAATATTTCAAATTGATTTTTCACAAAACTAACGCAACAATAAAAGTGTATTGTCAATTTCACTTTTAATAAATCTTGTACAAATTAACGTTAACGTTAAATTAAATATGTACAAGAAACACAATTTGAAATACAAAGACATATGAAGGATTTCATAGCACATGTGAACGTATTTGCAAGTAAATAAGGAGAGATTTGAGGGTTAGTTTTAAGAAATCACGTTATGTATACATATTTTACTCACACAAAATCGCACTTCTGTCACAGAACGTCAGCGTATCATATGCGTTCATTTCTTTTACTCTAATTTTTCATCTTTTTCGCCTACCTACGTTCGTCACTTATTCGTTCACCGATCGTGTCTATAAGCATATAGTATATACACAGGCGCCATATTTGTCGTATCGCAGTGTGGAAACACATTGTATATGAACGTCAACACAATGGAATACGACAACGTGTTGCTGTGTCTGAGAATGGCAAGTTGTCGCAAAAGTCTAGGTGTATTTATTCCGACATTTCTGAACTGTATTCTCTAGCAAAAGTATTATAAGAGTAACAAAGAGCGTGGAGATGGAAGAAGAAGGAAAAAGAAGATAAAGAAACAGTTACAAAGTATCGAGTGCGAGAGGGAGTTGACCGAAGAAAAAGTACCGGTGTGGTGGGGCAGTTAGCGACAGTATGCCGGTAGTGGTAACGCGGGTGTCGGTGTTGTGCCGAAGGTATATGCGTGCATAGATACACGAACACGCGCGCAGATTGGAAAGAGAAAGAGAAT